AATGAATGTTATTGATTTACTGAAGTGATGCTATTGACTTGTTCCCGGTGTTTTTTTTTTTTTTTTTTTTGCCATTTTTATAAGGCATAAATATAAAGTTCATAGATGTGGTTGTAACTTTTGTCTGGCCACATTAAAGATATTTACTATATTGTACGCTAGTATATGTGTAGGTTGTTTTATGGTTTTTTGAAAAGAAAAACAGACAAAACGTTGCCAACATCTTTGTGCAACGAAACCTTTCCCCAACGAAGCTGTAAACACAACTCTTTCAATTTGAGCTGTGTCTTTTTTTTTTTTTTTTTTGATATTTATTCAGTTTTTCATGTCGTTGCTGTTGCTGTTTCCATTCCTACTCTGTGGCTTATTGTTGTTGCTGTGGGTTTTTTATGTTCTAGTTTGCCTTTTTATACACCCATTTATCCTTTATGTTTTTTAGACTAGCAAACAAAACAAACCATATAATAAAAAGAAAATAGTCGTGTCTTTAGTTTATCTTATATTACAGTGTATATTTACACAGCGTTTGACCTAAAAAGACGGAGCTCAAAATAAAACTGGAAAACAGCGTAGTGAAGTCCAACAAAAATAAATAAATAATAAAAAAAGGGATCCACCACAATGAGAAGGATGTGAATGAATAAATCTTCAACTAAGTATTAAACAGAAGTCTGCTAGAAATGGTTGAGAACATTAAATACACTCTGCTGCAGTGGAATAAATTAAACGCGTAAAAGTATTTTGGTTGGGCTATGTTGGTGCCATAAATGAATGATGATGCCATAAGTTTAAAAAAATAGACTACATATAAAAGTGAATTTTGGAAAAAATGTATAAATCTAGCTATTGCACATAAATTTGCCGTTCAGATCATCCATATGATACCCTGTACAATATCCGGTATATGGATATCCGGACATAGCATTTTTGGAAGACCATAGATATTTGAACCAATAAAAAAAACCATACACATTCCATTCTGAAATCAATGGAAAATAGCATATCAATAGGACAGACTTGGTTTTTGCTGTAACATTTGTATGAAATCCAGCAAAATTATTTATGAGTGCTATATGTAAATCTGGACCGATTTCAACAAAACTTCACAGATGTCAAACTGGACGGAATTCAGTACGCTGTGCAAAATTTTCCCTCAATCGAGCAAATATTTCGAGTTTGGTGCACCATTTATATAATACCGGACTAAACTATATATGGGAGATATATTTTAAGTGATAATTTATATTCTTTCGAGTCGTGCATGATGATCTAAGTTTTGCAATGAAAAGGAAAGCCAGGAGAAGGTCCTACGTACCGACCATTATGCGACGGGTTTCGCCGTTGGTTAAGCGGCTCATCAGGCATATTGAGCAATGTGGCTTTTGCAAAGGTCGTACGTTGATAACTTGTATTTATTCCGCCCTGATGCGAAACTTGCATATGCGAATTAAATTCAAATTTGTCAAAGTTCGACATTTGTCTTCATTCTAGGAAAAGTCCTTATCACAGCAGATTAAAGCCACATTGTCCAATATGCCTGATGAGCCGCTTAACCAACGGCGAAACGCGTCGCATGATGGTGGGTACGTAGGTTCTTCTCCTGGCTTTCCTTTTCATTGCAAAACTTAGATCATCAAGCTCCACTCGAAAGAGTATAAATAATTGCCTAGGCAATATTTCGTGATATTTACAACCTCTTGCCCGATTAGAGGTAAACAGCACCTCTTCCTCACAATGACATATTTTCCGAATATTACGAGTATTCAGTACAGCTATTGTCCAGATTCCCTTCGCCGTGGGTTGTGGTGTGATGTTCGGCTTTCGACTCGAAAACTACAAATAATTAAGTTTTCGGTCCACTTCATCCGAAAACTATTATCTGATCAGCACCTAACATTTTAGGCGTTGCCCTCGAAATATGACGATCGGTATACTTAAAGGTGGGTCTAGGACCAATATTTCGCGGCGTTTCAAACTCTTGGGGCTGCACAAAGCTATAATACCCCGAGAACATAGTTGTGTAGGGTATAAAAATTTCGTTGAAAATTGTCTCTAATACTTTAACAAAAATTAAAAAAATAGCACTTCAAACTCCCATTGATTTTCAAAATCTGATTTCACATTTGTAATCGGTGGTCATAGCTCTACAACACCTATTAAAAAATAGATTAATTCAACTTTTAAAAAATTGACCGTCGTTTTCAATTCACCCTACTACATTTTTTACTTTTTGCTTGCAGAATCGTAATCAGAGTCATCGAAACCTTTATATCCAATAATTATTTCATAACCCCACTGCTCTAGTTATGGCCAAAAAAAGGGTTCGTTGGCCCATAGTGTATCGATTTAAATGAAATAGGACGAAAATTCATATGACAGCTACGCTTGAATATAATCGGATTTCTACAAAACTAATTTCATGTCATTCTAGGCCCAATTTGCAAACCCTCAACCGATTTCAGAGAAATTCAATATAAACCATTCTATGCACAATGTGAAATATGTAGTATGCAAAATTCTATCGCAATCGGAGAAACGTTACCGTTTGCTGCATCATTTAGAATAAATCGGAAGAATATATACATGGGAGCTACATCTACATATTAATAAATGTTTATCTCCAAGTATGATATTTCAAATCACAACTAAAATCCTATTGGGTAAGAAGTAGACGAAGGTCACAATTAGCTATCTGATATTTTCTTCAAATACTCAATGTTGTTCTTAGCTGAAGTGTATTGCAAAAATGTAAATTCTAAATTAAATACATATGTACATACTTATGTTGATTTATTGGAATTTTGTAATAGCTTCGTTAGTTTCCATTTATAAAAATTTTATCATTTACATACTACCGATGAATTCGTAAAAGTAAAGCCAGATCGAGAATCATTTAATAATTTAGGCCGTAATAAAAATAATGCAAAATTTTGAAGACATTTTTGTTTTTGTTATTCAGTTTTTATTTATGACGATCATCAGTGTATTTACAATTACATTGATTTGGTTTGTTATTATGTGTTTTTGTTTTGTATACTTGTAAATTATCATCTATTTAAAAAAGAAAACTAAAATTAGTGGACTGCTTTGGCGTTCTTTTTTTTCATGTCTATATATAAAAAATATAATAAAAATAAATGAAAATATCATATAATATCATTTTGTTGTTATTCTTGTTCTTCTTTTCTCCTTTTAAGAGTTGCAAGCATGTAAGCAATAATTGTCATATTCTTTTTTTTTTTTTTGAAATACAAATCTATAAATTATTCTTAGAACTAGTTGCCTTATGTTTATTATTGAAATAATAATAAAATATTTATATAATATCAAAAAATTTATTTTAAATAATTAATCCGAATAGAATTTAAAAAAGTTTTAAATATATTGTTTTTTTTATTATTATTATTTTATATTACTCTCATCCTAATGTTCGCTTAATTAGTTTCATTCGTATCAATATTATTTTATATTTATTTTATTTATACAACTATATAGAAAAAGCACAACGCAAAATTCTTGTAAAATACAATAAGAACACAAGGTGAATTTAGAAAAAAAATAAATATTCAGTTTTTTTTAATTATTTTTTCTTTTCATTTAATTTGTGTATATATTTATGGGTTATTCCATGTAAAATTGGACAATAAATGTTTCGAATTAGGAAGTGGGCATTTTCAAACTGTAAGAGACAATATTTAAATATTTGCGACATACACTCTCGTGCGGTTAATTTGAAAACAAGAAATATTTTTCTTCATTTAATTTATATTTGAAAATACTTTAGAGAAATTAAAAAGCAAAGTTGCCTTTAAAGTATATCCTCCACATTCATTTGAAAATATCAAATATATATATATATATATATGGCTTCCAATTTTTTGAGAAAGCGTGTATAAGTATTGACTAGGCAGAAGAAGTTATTTCCCCAAAATCTGCAAAAACCTAATAAAAAAATCAACCCTATTAGAAACGATTTTGGAAATTGGGAAATATGAATTCCCTATTACAAAAGGAAGGATATGGGAAATCATATTCCCAAAAATTTAAAATTTTCCAAAAAAAAAAAAATTGGTGTGAATTTTGCAAATCAGGCGGATGTAAGCGGCAACTTCAAATTAAATCTTCAAGAAAATTTGTTTTTAAATCAACATTTGAATATTTAAAGGAATCATTAAATAATGTATAGAACATGATATTCAGCAATTTTTGAATGAAGAACAATTTCAAGAAAATTTAACAAAATTAATAATAGAAACTATACATTTCAACATTCATCATTATAGCATTTTAGATACGAGTTGCATAAAAGTTAAAAAAAAATAAACAAAAACAACAAATTGTTTCCCTAACCTTTAAGGAGAAATTTGATATTTTGACAGGACCAAATTTGAAATGTTCGGACAGGTTAAATGTCTTTGACACTCAAGTGTTGTGTGTTTCCTTGCATCTTGTCCACTTGAATGCCCCCACTTTTGAGCAATTTATCAGGCACTCGAGTATTCTGATAATGGCATTGATGTCGACGTCGATGTCCTTACTGCAAATGTGGCTATTGTGTTTTTTTTTCGAATTCACCTAGGGGTTTCTTTCTATTTCTATCAGTGTTTTTATTTGTGTGTCGTAATGTTTACTGCATGTTAAAAATAACATATCAGTTTTTATAGAAGGAAATTCATATGCATTTGCTGAAAACATTAATTTTCCACAATTAAAATTTTCTTTACAAAATCATTTTTTTTTTGTCTCCCACAGTTATCAAGTGCCAAATTGAGTTTATGTTCCTTAGAATTGTGTTCAGTTAATGTCCTTGTAATAACCCCTAAAAATATTTTTGTTTAGCAATTATTTTGTAAGTGTAAAAATGTTTTTTGTGTATTTGTTTTTTTTTCTCATTTTACAGTTACCCCAAAAAATATTTATTTCTAAACCCTCTTCTAAACCCTGTTGAAAAAATCTGCACACATTTTTTGTTGTGGATGCCCTAAAAACAGCCATTCCCTTTAACCGACTTGTGTACCATACATTATGGCTAATATCAGCAGTAAAATACTATGGACATGACATGATTTTTCAGCGGCATTGACTGGTGTCAGGACTTGGACATTACTGCTTCGGGCATCCATTAGATCTCGCGATAACGGCAATTCTGTGGGATCACTCAATACTTCGTGACACGGCAAACGATCCGATCTTAACATGAAGAGACGCACCTGAATGCCCAATGGCTGTTTTGGCACTACCTCCACGGCATCCAGGAGATTGCTGTGGCTGGCTGATAGAATTTCATTATTTTGCTGGAACAGGGCATTGTGTTTCAACAATTCCAAATCGTCTTCCACCTTTAATGGGTGAGTGGCAACACGGCCAGCATTTCCGGCCTCGAAATAATCATTATGCATGTCACCATTGCTACTGCTGTCCGGGCCACCAAATATGTAATGGCTTTCAACGGTAGTTTTGCTGTTGGCTTCACCGGCATTACCCACCTCAACGGCGCCAATGCCCTGGTATTGGGACAATGTTAGAGCCCGTTTCTTCTTCAGTGAGGCAGAGTTCTCTACATGCATATGCTGTTCCACATCCTCGGTTAATTGTAACTGTCCATCAAATTTATTGTTGGCCCTTCGTTGGGATCCTTGGCGATTTTTGCTTTGACGTTTCTTGTTTGCCACACCACTGGTGGAAACATACTGATCCGAACTGGTAGCCGAACTCAATCCGCCCACATTGAGCAGTTGCAGAACATGGCTGGGTACGGGTTCAATAAAATTGTGCAGACGCGGTTCTTGCAAGGTGCAAATAAAATCATCCAAAGAGTCACGCAACTGCTGGTAACGAGTGCGATTTTTCAATTCATACAGCCATTGCAAACGACAGTCACAAATGAAATTGTTATCTGGAATAAACAAAAGCAAACATAGAGAATGAGTTAGTACAAAGACAAATAAAATTGAAAATGAAATTGTATCAAGTGCTATTTCGTTGTGAACAATTTGTGCAGCAGGTCCAGCTTGCATTAAATGCACACAAAAAATAAACAAAAACAACAAATTGTTTCCCTAACCTTTAAGGAGAAATTTGACATTTTGACAGGACCAAATCTGAAATGTTCGGACAGGTTAAATGTCTTTGACATTCAAGTGATGTGTGTTTCCTTGCATCTTTTCCACTTGAATGCCTCCACTTTTGAGCAATTTATCAGGTACTCGAGTATTCTGTTAATGGCATTGATGTCGACGTCGATGTGCTTACTACAAATGTGGCTGTTGTGTTTTTTTTTTCGAATTCACCTAGGAGTTTCTTTCTATTTCTATCAGTGTTTTTATTTGTGTGTCGTAATGTTTACTGCATGTTCATCAAGGCATTGTGTTCTGATGTGTTGAGTTTATGCCAGAAATGTCTTCGCATTTTTGTTTTCATTTCATTTGACATTTTCCAGAGCATGACTTAATTCAAATGAACAGAAATGGTGAAAATTTTGCATTTCACCTTTCCTACAAGCAAGGATTTCCTAGGACTACATTACATTCTATATACTTTGAGCAATATTCTTCGAACATTATATTTTAATTAAAATATTACAGAGTGTATTTTTGATTGTAGCAAAATGTGAGTGTATTTGTAGAACGTATGTATAAATGTGAAAAAATAATTATAACCTAATCAAATCAAGGCAGTAAATTCGGACGGCTACAATTATTTTTATTAACTCCACCATATGGTGGAGTATATCTTAAATTTGTCATTACGGAAAAAAACTATCGAAGTTCCAGTTTTCCAAACGGAGTGACATTTTCTCAAATAAACAACCAACCACACATAATAATTGAGGAAGGCACATCACATGGTGGTGCTCGGCCCTACCGAACTTTTTTTATACCCCCCATCATAGGAGGAGTGTACATTAAAATGTGGGATTCCGTTTGCAACACCTCGTAATATTCAACGAAGAACGTGTATATATTCTTGATCAGAATAAAAATTCTGCACAGATAACGTATATATATTCTTGATCAGAATAAAAATTCTTCACAGACTTGCTAGTAGGGGAGACTGGGGCACCTTCGGCATCGGGGCACCTTCGGCAATCGCGTTTTCGATAGGAAGCTCTGACCGTACATCACAAGTTTCGATAAATATGTATCGAATATCGAAATAAATAACTGTCACAAAGTTTGAAGTTTCTAGCTAATAAACTTATTTAGATGCACGGGTTTTTGTATTTTTACAGGTGTTTCTGTAATGTTTCCATTCCGTAAGTATTTCGTGCATAAAACTTTTCAAATTTTAAGACAATATTATTAAAAAGTGGTTAATTACGATGTCTATTATTATACAAAAATTTAAAGATATAATATTTTTACAAGACTGATAAAAAAAAAACGAAAAAAATTATAAAAAGTACATTCGGCCAAATGAATACAGTGCAATATTATTTCCTTAAAATGTTTTTGAGTTTGTCTTTAAAAATAATCCTGTAATATGCATTCACGAAAATGCGATAAAAAAAACGCTATTTCTGATAGTGTGTGTGACCTTGAAATGTTAACGTCCGCCGCTAGAAAATATAGCCCCAAAACTCAAACACTAGATTGCCGAAGGCGGTCATTTTGACAGTTCAATTTCAAGTACAAAAATAATTGTGTATATTATGACACAGGTTTTTAAAATTTAGTGACTTTTTGTACCACATAGAACTACGTTTATTAATCATAGTAGCTGCTTCCCTCCCTCTTTCATTCCCCGTATTCACATGTGCTATACCTATATTGCCAAAAATCGGCCATCTTGAGAGCCCTCTCACCGAAAACAAATAATAACAACGGTTTGTATGATTGTAAATAATGTAAAAAATATTACAAAATAAGTTTAAACAAATTTCTTTACACAATAAATTTTTTTCAGAATTAAATCATTTTGACCGATTATAGTTAATATAGGTATATACGAAATCCAAGTATTTCTAGTGTTAAACCAAATAGAGCCTTTAGAGGATTTGAATTTCAACCAGACTGATAGAGATGATAATTACCAGGCTATGACTATGATGCCGAATGTGTCCCATCAAATGCCGAAGCTACCCCGGGTTGGGGCACATTCGGCGAATTTGACTTTTTGTACAAAACTGTAAAAATGTTTAACTAATACTAATTTGTTATATCCTTTTGGTACTAGATTTTAAAAAAAGTGCCGAAGGTGCCCCAGTCTCCCCTACTCCTAGGATGTCTTGTATTGCATTTTTAATGTATCCACGTTTTAATGTAGCTCCCATATAACAATATAATCAAATTTTCGGTATTTTGGACACGTTTTTCAATCGAATTTGGCTGTAATTTGGTACATGTATAGCACATCTTCGAACTAAAAATTGGCTGTAAGTTGGTATATTGGGTTCTCAATGTCTAGTCAACCGTCCTAGTCGAAAATAGGTCGTTCGGTCGCCGAAAATGTCAATAACATCGGAGAAATTATCGAGAAATGCCTTTGACATGGCAAAACATCGTACAACAAAACAGTGTATATTTGGGATAAATCGGACATATTTTGGTAAATAATCTTCCTACCAAAAATTATAATTGTATATATTATGTCCGTTTGTCGGTCCATCCATGTATTCTTGTTAACAAAGTACAGGTTGCATTTGTGATCCGATTTGGATGAAATTTGGCACAGTTCACTTCTTTGGCCCAAGAATGAACCCTATTGATATTGGGAAAAATCGGTGCAGATTATATAGCTCCCATACACATTTTCGTCTAATTTTAGGTAAATAGTGCACAAAAGACCCTAGATATCCTTCGATTTGTACGAAATTTGGCATAACATTCTGAACTAAGCCTAGAACGGTTTGTGTTAAATTTCGTGAAAATCGGTTCAGATTTGGATATAGCTCCCATATATATTTTCGTCCGATTTTGTGTAAATGGTGCACCAAAGTCCCCATATATCATTCCATTTGCACGAAATTTGGATTTATAAGTAAATGAAGAACTCGGAATGTGGCCGAACATTTGACAAGTTTCGATGAAATCGGTTTAGATTTCGATATTTTGCTTTAAATTTATTTACATAATTTTGTCCCATTGCAAGAAGCAACTCTATATTTGACCAAAATTTAGTATAGATTGCAAAATGACATGTTTAATTTCATGTTAATGGTCTTTCAAAAAATGCGACATCTGTTAGGATCCCATCGTTGAATATACCCAAAGTGGTGAGGGGTATCATATAGTCGGCCCCGTACGACTTTACAACTTTCCTTACTGTTTTTTTTTTCTTTTTTGTTTTGAGAAAATTCAACCATTTTTACTTTACTTTACTCTACGTCGTCCTATACATGTTCGTCGGTTGTAATCAAAATAATGTTAGATAAATTCTCCGGAAAACCACAACCAAACTATTTTGATGATACGCAGCCTTTTCATACCATATTCCGGAAAAAAAGGTCTGTGAAACCGATTTTGTCTCTGCTTCTATGATTACAGCCATTTTCTCATCCTTCTTTCTAAAATTTACTCCTTTTTTCTTTTTGTATATTTTTTCTCCATCCTTGCTAACATTGCTTTTATTTATTACTATTTGTTTTATTTTTTATTTGCTAAATAAACATAAAAGTAAAACTTGCACATAACCATAACCATGTCTGCTGGCCAACGATGTTTTTTAGCATTACAAAGAAGAGGTATGTCAAATAATGTGTTGATGTTGTGGGTTTCTATATATGTATGTATCAGCGTGTATATAATATGTTAAAATACATTAGTATATAGATGTTAACATTTTTATTTAAATCTCCACATTACATCGTATAACAAGGGCATTACTATAGAATTTTATTATATCATACACCACACTGTGGTACCGGACACTTTGTGTATTCATATTTTTAAGTAGGCCTCATACTAAGGCGCCGGCTAGAACCATTTACCTGAGTGTCTCACATTTGGGTTTCTGACTGGCAGACAATTTTCAATGACAAAGACCCAATATGAGGGCTTCCCATTGTGTAGCAAATTTTCGTACTTAACCAATAAGGAAAGGTCAAAAGTCGCACGGGGCCGACTATATGATATCATTGACCACTCTGGGCAAAAAAAAAAAATTGGGTTTGTTTCCCCTATGAATCTAGGAGTTCCGTAGTTTTTGTGAACTACTTCAGTCTTCTGCATTCACACCCCTCAGATGGGTTAGTTCGTGAAGAGTGTCATTTCCCAAGAATTGTTTCCGAAGGTATGTAAATGCTGGGTAATGGCACAGGAAATGTTCCAGAGTTTCACTGTCTTCCCCACACGCTCTGCACAATCTGCTATTTTCGCATCCAATTTTGAGTAGATGTGCCTTTAGGCTGAGGTGTCCCGTTAAAATACCCGTCAGTCGGCTTATTTCTGTTTTGTTTAGCGTTAAGATTTCCTTAGTTTTGTCTTCACTTGGGCCACCCCATAAAATTTAAAATTTTGGTGATTTTTCCTGTCCCCTTATTTTCCCAAAGCGTTTTGTGGGTCTCAATCGCCCATTTTCTCATTTCTTGGCGTGTTTCGCTATTGTGGGTAGTGCAGTAGCACTCCTGACTAGTTGATTTGCTATCTCGTTGCCTATGATTCCTTAGTGGCCTGGTACCTTTATAATTCGTACAGGTCCTTGTTGTGGGAAATCATTAATGGTATTTATACATTCCAGTACTGTTTTGGAAGAAATTGCATTTATAGCTTGTTTGCTATCCATAATAATATTTAATGTATTTTGCCTTTGGTTACATATCCGTATGTACCAAAATATGTGCAGGATATCACATAGTCGCACTCGCTTAACTTTGCCTCAATCCTTGCTGATTTTCATTTAGCTATTTCTACTCCAACATATTCATTTGAAGTAATATGTCCTCTATGGTTGATATTGTTTTGTTATGATTTTCATTGTTCTCATAGTCGAGAATGTTTACAGAAATATGACCAAATAGAACAGAGATTTTACAAGACACATATGACAAATTAGCATATTATGTTTTTATGAAATGTAT